TAAGAATGTCTAATCTGTAATGTGATGCCTTTTTCAGATTTTTCCATCTTTCCTTGGCTTCTTTATGCACATTAATACAAATTTTTAGTTGGGGTGCCCAAACTTTCGATCCCCACTGTATGTCTGAAAGACACAGCGATCACGGAGAGTGCCAGGTGCGTGCCACTGGGGGCGCACAGGAAGGCATCTTCTGGGAAGACGTCATATGACGCCCTTCCAGAACTGGACAACCGCGCTGTAGCCATCATTCGGCTAGAGCAGCGTTTTTCAACCACTGTGCCGCGGCACACTAGTGTGCCGTGAGATATTGTCTGGTGTGCCGTGGGAAAAATTCCAATTTCATCTGTAACATGTGGCTTCGGCTCACAAATATAGACCAATCATTAGAATCTAATGATTCAGTGGTCGGCAAGCCGCGGCTCGCGAGCCACATGCGGCTCTTTACCCAGTCTAATGCGGCTCTTCTGTGTGCCGGCGCCTGCTCCCCTCCCTCCTCTCGGTCGGCAGTCCGCTCCCCTGCCTCCTCTCTCTCGGTTGGCAGCCCCAAAAGCCCGCGCGGACCTTTTAATCCCGGGCTTTGATGTGGCTGTCAGGATGTGTGTAGGCGGGGGCAGCGTGCCGAACGTGAGGGGAGGGGAGCTAGGCTCCTCTCACAGTCCGCCCTGAAGACCCGAACGGCGCGGGAAGACAGCGAGAGGAACGCAAAAGGTAAGTGAATTGACACGGGGGACTTGGCTTACTAGAAGGGGGGGGGGGAATAGTACTGTGGGGGATGAAATACTATATGAGGGATGAATTACTTTATGAGGGGATGAAATACTATATGGGGGGATGAAATACTATATGGGGGATGAATTACTATATCAGGGATGAATTACTATATGAGGGATGAAATACTATATGGGGGGATGAAATACTATATGGGGGGATGAAATACTATATGGGGGGATGAAATACTATATGAGGGATGAAATACTATATGGGGGATGAAATACTATATGAGGGATGAAATACTATATGGGGGATGAATTACTATATGAGGGATGAATTACTGTATGAGGGATGAAATACTATATGGGGGGATGAAATACTATATGAGGGGATGAAATACTATATGAGGGGATGAAATACTATATGGGGGGGGGGGATGAAATACTATATGGGGGATGAAATACTATATGAGGGATGAAATACTATATGAGGGATGAAATACTATATGAGGGATGAATTACTATATGAGGGATGAAATACTATATGGGGGGATGAAATACTATATGGGGGATGAAATACTATATGGGGGGATGAAATACTATATGAGGGATGAATTACTATGGGGGATGAATTACTATATGGAGGATGAATTACTATATGGGGGATTAATTACTATGCTTACTATGGGGGAATATTACTATACTTACTATGGATGACACATACACATCATTCATCTACTCTTGGTCCGGCCCCCGGGTCCAATTATAAAATACTTTATTATTTCATAATAAAGTAATTATAAAAATAATTTCTTTGTGTTTGATTCCTATTCAAGAGAATTACTTTATATATATAGTCAATATAGGCACAGAGGTAAATTTTTTTAACATTTTCTAATGGTGGTGTGCCTCGTGATTTTTTTCATGAAAAAAAGTGTGCTTTGCACAAAAAAAAGGTTGAAAAACACTGGGCTAGAGCGCGGTTGTGAAGTGGTTAAGCAATTGAATGAACATTTTCCAAGAGTGGTGATTCCATACTTTTTCCCAGGGGTTATAACTGATGACGATCAGAGTGAATAAGATTATGATGACGCCATTAGTGAAGCCATTAGCTGTAAGGAATTTACTTTTTTAGTCATTAATAAGTCCTGTGAACAACAGTATTGTCATACACATGGCCAACAACACCATTTTATTGCATAAAAAAGAAGCAGACTCCATCGTCCATAACTTTCACCAGCACTATCAACACTAGCTATTGTGTTAGCTAGCCACCACCACCATGCCACACAGCTGCAATAAGCAGCAAATGAGCAGGTAAAAAATGTATACCGGACACATTTATGTGTATATCAGGGGCGGACTGACAAACTCATGGGGCCCCCGGGCATTAGGGGATCATGGGGCCCCTGTGTCCTTGCCCAAACTCGAAAACGGTACCAGGGGCATCTCATGGGGCCCCCTACTGACCTCGGGCAGTGCCCGAGTTTCCAACTGGTCAGTCCTCCCCTGGTGTATATATAATAATTTGTTTAATTTAATATATTATTTTATTTACTCTACAAAATCAATGGTTACTGTGACAAAAATGCTTAGAACATCGCATTTTTAAACACATCATTTTCCAGAAGTTTTGATTCATAGGGAAAACTTGCACCTCATTAGAGGGCCACTTGGGTGCAAAACATATGAATCACTGAAAGATCAAAATTTTTCATTATTCTCATCATCTCATTCATGATTAGAACTGGGCAGATGAGGATTAAAGTGTTACTAAACCCACAACAGTAAAATCAGTCTGTATATATGCAGTAAAACATGCTTGTTATTGTCAGGGCTCCCAGGTATGACCAGAGATGTGTGACTGATGCAGGGAAACGCAGACTTCAGAAATGTGATAAACAATATAATTTATTAACACTAACCATACAAACATAAACGCAGGGCAATACTAAACATAATACAGTGCAAACAAACCAAACCAACCACCCACAGATAACAGTACATACAAGCAAGCGTCGTCAGGCAGGCCGGGTCAATATCAATTGGGCAGGTAGGTACGGGGGGAGCAAGCGGAGAATGGTCGGGGTCACAGGCCAGGTTCAGCAGGTAGCAAGCAGCGAGGTACAGAGGGTCAGACAGGACAGAGGGGTGGTCAGGGTCACAAGCCAGGATCAGAGCAGGAGAAGTCAGCAGCAGTTCAGATCAGGGTCAGCAAAGGACCAGAAACAGGATGCAGGACAGATACAGGGCCCAGGACAAACACAACACCAAGGCAGAGTCTGCAAGTCTGGCCATCCCTTAAATACCCCAGTATCATCAGTTCCAGGTGTTAGCTGGCTGAAAGGTTGAGTCTCTGATTGCTGGGAGCACCCGCTGGCCAGCCCTGGTACTGCAGATCAAAAGGCAGGTGAGTCCCACCATTGCTGGCCAGTCCATTCCTAACAGTACCCCCCCCCCTCAAGGAGCGGCCTCAGGACGCTCCAAACAGTCCTAGCTGGGCAAAATGTTCCACCGCCCGGGTCTGGCAACTGGCGGGATAGCAAAGACTGGCACACCGGGCAGGACTCCGGGCAGCGGCACACCGGGCTGGACTCCGGGCAGCGGCACATCGAGCAGAGGCACACCGGGCAGAGGCACACCGGGCAGAGGCACCACCGGGGCAGAGAGGCACACCGGGCAGAGGCACATCGGGCAGGACTCCGGGCAGAGGCACATCGGGCAGAGGCACATCGGGCAGGACTCCGGGCAGCGGCACACCGGGCTGGACTCCGGGCAGCGGCACATCGAGCAGAGGTTTCTATAGAGGCACTCCGGGCAAAGGCACACCGGGCAGAGGCACATCGGGCAGAGGCACACCGGGCAGAGGCACATCGGGCAGAGGCACACCGGGCAGAGGCACACCGGGCAGAGGCACATCGGGCAGAGGCACATCGGATTACCAGGCGAAGCAGCAGGCACCGGGCCCCCGGCGGGGCAACAGGCACCGGGCCCCCCAGGCGGGGCGACAGGCATCGTGGCCCCCAGGCGGGGCGACAGGCATCGTGCCCCCAGGCGGGGCGACAGGCATCGTGGCCCCAGGCGGGGCGACAGGCATCGTGGCCCCAGGCGGGGCGACAGGCATCGTGGCCCCAGGCGGAGCGGCGGGTCTCGGGCCCTCAGGCGGAGCGGCGGGCGCCGGACCCCCAGGCGGAGCGACAGGTCTCGGGCCCTCAGGCGGAGCGGCGGGCGCCGGACCCCCAGGAGGAGCGACAGGTCTCGGGCCCTCAGGCGGAGCGGCGGGCGCCGGACCCCCAGGCGGAGCGACAGGTCTCGGGCCCTCAGGCGGAGCGGCGGGCGCCGGACCCCCAGATGGAGCGACAGGTCTCGGGCCCTCAGGCGGAGCGGCGGGCGCCGGACCCCCAGTGTGGAGCGACAGGTCTCGGGCCCTCAGGCGGAGCGGCGGGCGCCGGACCCCCAGGTGGAGCGACAGGTCTCGGGCCCTCAGGCGGAGCGGCGGGCGCCGGACCCCCAGGAGGAGCGACGGGTCTCGGGCCCTCAGGCGGAGCGGCGGGCGCCGGACCCCCAGGTGGAGCGACAGGGGGTCTCGGGCCCTCAGGCGGAGCGGCGGGCGCCGGACCCCCAAGCGGAGCGACAGGTCTCGGGCCCATAGGCGGAGCGGCGGGCGCCGACCCCCAGGAGGAGCGACAGGTCTCGGGCCCTCAGCGGAGCGGCGGGCGCCGGACCCCCAGATGGAGCGACAGGTCCTCGGGCCCTCAGGCGGAGCGGCGGGCGCCGGACCCCCAGGTGGAGCGACAGGTCTCGGGCCCTCAGGTCGGAGCGGCGGGCGCCGGACCCCCCAGATGGAGCGACAGGTCTCGGGCCCTCAGGCGGAGCGACAGGTCTCGGGCCCCCAGGCGGGGCGGCGGGCGCCGGATCCCCAGGCGGAGCGGCGGGCGCTGGACCCCCAAGCGGAGCAAACAGGTCTCCGGGCCCCCAGGCGGAGCGGCGGGCACCGAGTCACCCCCCACCCCCACGACAGTGGGCTCCGAGTCAACTGGTATGACCGCGCGCAGGCACTGGGTCAGACATTGTATGGTCTGGCTGGACAGCGGGCATCGGGTCACCAGGCATCAGGTCATTTGGCTCGACAGCGGGCACCGCGTCATCTGGCAAGGCAGTGGGCTCCGAGTCAACTGGTATGACCGCGGGCACTGGGTCAGACATTGGATCGTCTGACCGGACAGCGGGCATCGGGTCACCAGGCATCAGGTCATTTGGCTCGACCGCGGGCACCGCGTCATCTGGCAAGTGCAGTGGGCTCCGAGTCAACTGGTATGCGACCGCAGGCACTGGGTCAGACATTGTATGGTCTGGCTGGACAGTGGGCATCGGTCACCAGGCATCAGTTCCATTTGGCTCGACAGCGGGCACCGCGTCATCTGGCAAGGCAGTGGGCTCCAAGTCAACTGGTATGAACCGCGGGCACTGGGTCAGACATTGGATCGTCTGACTGGACAGCGGGCACTGGGTCACCAGGCATCAGGTCATTTGGCTCGACAGCGGGCACCGCATCATCTGGCAAGGCAGTGGGCTCCGAGTCAACAGGCACGACAGTGAGCACCGGGGCATCAGGTACCGGATTGTCTGGCTCGACAGCGGGCATCGGGTCACCAGGTATGACAGCGGGCACTGGGGTCACCAGGCATCAGGTCATTTGGCTTGTCAGCGGGCACCGCGTCATCTGGCAAGGCAGTGGGCACCGGGTCACCAGGCATTGGATCGTCTGGCTCGACAGCGGGCCATCGGGTCACCAGGTATGACAGCGGGCACTGGGTCACCAGGCATCAGGTCATTTGGCTTGCCAGCGGGCACCGCGTCATCTGGCAAGGCCAGTGGGCACCGGTCACCAGATATGACAGCGGGCTCTGAGTCAATTGGCAACGACAGCAGGCACTGGATCAGGTACCGGAATCATCTGGATCAACAGCGGGCATCGAGTCAACTGCCTAATAGGATCGTCGGGCTGGATCAGTTCATCATGCTGAGTAGCGGCTTCAGGCTGAATGCAGGCATCAGGCTGAGGAGAGGCTTCAGGCTGAAGAGAGGCATCCGGCTGAAGAGAGGCATCAGGCCGAGTAGAGGCTTCAGGCCGAGTAGAGGCTTCAGGCTGAGTAGAGGCTTCAGGCCGAGTCACAGAAGGCAGGCTCACCGGTTTGGATACTGGCAGGATGGTATTGGTTGGAAAGAATTTTCGCTTTTTTCTTGAAGGTTTTAAACTACTGGAGCACTGCAAGTAAACGCAGGTCTGCAAACGAATGGAGCAGCTGGAGACAGAGAAAAACTGGAGGATGGAACAGGAGAGGGAGCAGTTGCTACAGAGGGCTGGAGCTTTTACAGGGTTAAAGGCAGGATAGGTGCAGCGAGTGGGAACAGGGACAACTGACATGCGGTAGATAGCAGGGCAGGAGGAGCTGGTGGGAATACAGGAGTAGAGTTAGAAGCAGGACTGGGTCTTTGTAAGCTGACTGAGGCTGGTGCAACAAATCTGTCCATGTCTGCAGTAGGGGTTGAACAAAGCTGAGCTTACACAAAGTCTGTCTGGTCAATGACTGCACTGCGTTGATACAATCTCTTAGTGTCTGTGGTGAACATGTGGAGTAACGCTCCAAAAGGTAACCCCCATCATCCTCTAATAACCACACCAGGGACTCTACCTGGTCTGCACTAAATGGTGGCAAAAATTCATCCCTGCATTCGGGGGGAACGCCAGATGAAACCAACTCTGCACAAACCTCAATCAATGGCTGCACCTCAGAGAACACTGTGCCCTGATCTACTAGAACATGAGCGAGCCGTATACATTCTAGCAATTCATATCCCGGGTATACTCCTTCAGAGTTTGATAAGCATACTCCCTGTCATCAAACACTAGCAGATATAAATACTCAACCTCATCAAGATCCATCCTTCCCATCAACAAGCCAAGATGGCTTCCCTGTGCAGCCACTTTCTGGTCAGGATTGGCCTTGGTGTAATGTCAGGGCTCCCAGGTATGACCAGAGATGTGTGACTGATGCAGGGAAACGCAGACTTCAGAAATGTGATAAACAATATAATTTATTATAACACTAACCATACAAACATAAACGCAGGGCAATACTAAAACATAAAACAGTGCAAACAAACCAAACCAACCACCCACAGATAACAGTACATACAAGCAAGCGTCGTCAGGCAGGCCGGGTCAATATCAATTGGCAGGTAGGTACGGGGGGAGCAAGCGGAGAATGGTCGGGGTCACAGGCCAGGTTCAGCAGGTAGCAAGCAGCGAGGTACAGAGGGTCAGACAGAGGGGTGGTCAGGGTCACAAGCCAGGATCAGAGCAGGAGAAGTCAGCAGCAGTTCAGATCAGGGTCAGCAAAGGACCAGAAACAGGATCGGCAGGACAGATACAGGGCCCAGGACAAACACAACACCAAGGCAGAGTCTGCAAGTCTGGCCATCCCTTAAATACCCCAGTATCATCAGTTCCAGGTGTTAGCTGGCTGAAAGGTTGAGTCTCTGATTGCTGGGAGCACCCGCTGGCCAGCCCTGGTACTGCAGATCAAAAGGCAGGTGAGTCCCACCATTGCTGGCCAGTCCATTCCTAACAGTTATATACTCACTGTGGAACCTAAGGGGTTAATCCTCTGCATTGTGTAAAAAGGCTATTTGATTTTTTCTTCTCTATTCCTCCCCTTTTTTCAAGCGACCACCACTTATCTCCAGAGTGAGCCATAGGCATGAACATTCTCCAGTTTGGTGTGTAGTGCTAGAGAGGTTTTCTTTTCTTGGGAGAGTACATATGATCAGCACATGGCCAATTAGCGCTGTCCAGACAGAGGTCAGCGGGGTTTTGCATCCTCCTAGAGCAGTAAGAAAACTCCTCCTAAAAGCTTTAGCTAGTGCTGGGCTGGACACAGATAGAAGCCACAAGACTGCTCTAACTGCTGATGAGAAAAGGTATTTAGCAGTTTATATTTACTAAAATAATTGCACTTCCAGTTTTGTTGTGTTGTACTGTGGTATACCAGATACAGTGGATGCAGGGTCTGGGGTTTAGTAACACTTTAAACATTATATTGCACTTTTTGTATTCACCTATTTTTAAATATCACATTAAACCTACAGAATACATTCGCCGCCGGGGTCTGTCAAATGAAACATACTGGAAACTGCAGCAGTATTAACTGCCTACCAGTAATCTAAATGGCATATAAAATGTGACATGCCATACTTACCCTCCTCTGGCATTCTTGGCTCCAAAGTCCCACCGTGTCCAAAAATAAAATAAAATCAAAAAGTCCCCAAAAGGAATCCCCAAAAAAAATAATCCTCACAAGTGTAAACACAAAAACTTAAACTTTTTCTTCTTCTTTCATCACCAAAACCTTCTTAATACCCGCAAATTCTGATATTCATATACCTCAAAAAAAGAAAAAAAACTCGACATAGTGTCATACCTTAAATAATGAAAACACACGTGCCACTCGCTGTGCAGCATGCAAGATATTGACTAAACGTGTAAACTCAAACCAAGTGTCAAAACACATAAAATAAGTGAAATGACAGTATGAGTGAAAGCACATACAATATGTGAAAAACCACACTCCACAAATAACACTCTAATATATAAAAGGGTGATAAATGAAAACCAAATCCCAACTCTCCAACTCTAATATGGATGGGTAATTACCCTATAGCAGAAACAGCAAGGCAGATTAACCACTCTGGGTTACACTCTCCTCTCCTCGATTTTCTCCAGGACTAGGGTCACTTCCTCCACTTTCCTCCAGAGAACCAGTCAGTGAAACAAATAAGTGAAGTGGCAATATGAGTGAAAGCACATTCACACCCTATAGTAGAAACAGCAGGGCAGACTAACCACTCTGGGCCACACTCTCCTCTCCTCGACTTTCTCCAAAAGACTAGGGTCACTTCCTCCACCTTCCTCCAAAAACCAGTCACCAGTGTAAGAGATAATCTTCTTTATTGATAACTCACATAAAATTCATGGTAACAGCTCCTCCTCACAAGCAGTGTGCACATGGACAGGTTCAGGGAAAACATAAACCGCATGTTCCCACTTCCAAAATGGCCGCGATCGCACTTCCGGTCAAACGTCGATGCGTATGACGTCACGTGTTTCTGACGCGTTTTTCGTCACTTCCTTTGACTTTTTCAGAAGGGTAAGGACGTCTGCGCATCGACTCCTTATGTACCCGCCCCCTTCCTACATTAGCGGCATCACTCAACGCCTATATTGATATCAATAAATACATCAGAAATTAAATATCAAAAAATATTTTGCATCCCTACCAGGCCCTACCACCCTATCAAATATAAATAGTGGATCTACTTTTGTTCATAGTAACCTTAAGAATAAGTCCACTTTTAATCCGATTAATTCAAAAAATCAGAATATAGAGGTCTTTAAACAAATGGTAATAGAAGATTTTCAGAGATTGCAAACATCTAAAATTATGGAAGAGAAATCGATTTTTCAGGGCGTGAATGCCCTGAAAAAAGAAAAAAATATAGTTATTAGACCAGCGGATAAGGGGGGAGGGGTGTGGTGATGGATAGAAAACAATATGAAGAAGAGATGGAATGTATTTTAAGTGATTCAGACACATATGTTAGAATTTTAAAAAATCCGAGTGTTTTATATAAAAAGCAGTTAAAAAAACTAGTAAATCAAGCGAAAGATAACAAAATTTTAAATGACAAAGAAGCATTATATTTAATACCTTTACATTGTAGAACCCCGTTTATTTACATTTTACCGAAAATACACAAAAGCCCTGACGAAACCCCCAGGTAGGCCAATCATAAACGGCATTGGGTCAATTCATTCGAGAATTGGGGAATATGCAGATTTTTATCTGCAGCCTATTGTGAAGGGAATGCCGTCATATTTGAAGGACAGTCGAGATGTAATAGACCTACTGGAAGGACAATGGAGACCACACAGAACACTCTGTTTGTAACAATAGATATCAATTCTCTTTTATACTAATATTAGACATCAAGATGGGATTGAGGCTGTGAAATGGGGTCTGAAGAATTTCTCGGACCTACATTTTAAAACAGAGGAAGTTTATTATTCAGTTGCTCGAGTTTTAGTATGAGTAAAAACTTTTTTTGGTATAAAGGGGAGTTCTATGAACAAAGGAAAGGCGTGGCGATGGGTGCCAAGTTTGCCCCTAGTGTGGCAAATATCCTTTTATCTAAATGGGAAGATAAGATCATTTTTTGGTAAACAATGGGAAGGCCTGAAAATCTGGAGAAGATATATTGATGATATTCTGATCATCTTTGGAGGGTACAGAAGATAATTTGAATACTTTTTTTAGAGGTTTTAAAAGATAATGAATATGGTTTGAGTTTTACATGGAAAATTGATAAGGAATCGGACAATTTTTTTTAGACTTAAATATTTTCAAATATTGAAAATAAAATTTGTTTTAAAAACCTTTTTTTAAAGGAAGACTGACAGGAATGGGTTCATCCCCACGACAAGTTGCCATCATCCCCAATGGATATCGTGGGATCCCTATTTGGACAATTTTCAAGGATAAATGAGGAATTGTTCGAAATTAGATGATTATAGATATAATTCAATCAGATTTGATAAAACAAAGATTTTATAATGAAAGGATATGACCCCAATTGAATTGGAAAAGGCAAGATTTAAAGTCAGTAAAAACTATATAGGAGAAACTAAGATAAAAACTGAACCCAAAAAGAAAAAAGATAAGAATGTGGTAGATTTTGCCTTTATTTCAAAATTTAATTGTCAGTTCAAAGAAGTAGAGGGTATTTTTTAAAAAATATTGGCCCATTCTGAAAAAAGACCATACATTAAGAAATGTTTTACCTGCCCAACCCCAGTTTGTTTACAGAAAAGTGACAATCTTCGGTCTTTATTAGTGAAAGGGGTTATTTCACACCCCCTAGAAAGACAAGGATGTTTGACCTACAGGGGTTCTATCCTTGTAAAAAATGTAAAATATGCAAAGTGACAGGCATTAAGGAGAGAAAAATCATGAAATCATAAATCAGTTTACACTGGAGAAGAATCTAATATAAAAAAAATTTATTACATGTGACACTAAATATGTGACCTATGTTTTAGAATGTCCTTGCCCATTACAATATGTA